TTAAAAAAAAACCACCATTGACTATTTAAGCAGCTTGTAATGTTGTACACAAACCAATGGACTAGTTGCCACATTGGAGGCTTTTATTCTGATGTATTCATCCTTCTCCAAAAAAGCTCTTAAACCTTGAAGTGTAGAGGCTAGAGGCTCATTTGTTTGGAGAAGGGAGTGGGCCAAGGGCCCTCTGAAGGGATGGAGCAAAGATTGGGAGGCCCATCTCTGTAGGGGAACAGTCTAAAAGGGGAAGCATTTGTCAACTAGCTTTATTGTCCTTCGCTCTTCCTGTGCGTAAGGATTCCTTTTTCCTACTTTGTTGTCTTTTGTAAAAAAGCCTAAAACATGAACCTTTTGCTGCTAAGCAAATGCTGAGTTTATTTTTTGTACAGTAAAGCTGGAGGGAGCTTGCTGTGTTGCTGTTTCCTCGGTGAGTTTTCTTCCATGATTTAAGCAAGTCGCTCCTGATCCTTCACATGGAGCAAAAAGTGTCTAGCTCATACTTTCTTGCTGAATTCTAGTTCTGAATTTTTCCAGTTCAAGTGAGATTTAACTTGAGCCTTGTGGGGTCTGGTACAGTGGTTACGGACATGGAGTTTGGCCACAGAGAGATCTAGGGTTGATCTACTCAGCCACGTGATATGGGCCAAGTTCTTATCTTCTTGGAGCTTCAGTTTCCATGGATGGATGGATGGATGGATGGATGGATGGATGGATGGACGGATGGATGGATACATTGGTAGATAGAAAGATAGGTAGGCAGACAGAGCTAGATACTATATAGGATATAACAGAGCAATTACAAATGCCCCCAGTTCTCCTTCTGCGTTTACACCTTTGGATGTGGCTTTGCAATCCTCCCTTCACTACTAACCCATTCCTTGAATCGAGGCTGGCCTTATGATTTGCTTTGACCAACAGAGTACGGCAGAAGTGACCATGTGCCAATTCCAAGTCCAGTTCTCAAGAGGCACTGCACACTTGCAACAGCTCTCTTTTGGACGCCAGCCTTCACCAAAAAGAAGCCCAGGCTAGCCTCCTGGAGGATGAGAGACCAGGTGGAGGAGAACAGAGGTGTCCCAGCTTTGCCTTGTGTGAGACTCAGGTGATTTCACCCCTGTCCATGTACCTCCCACAACCCACCAACATGGATACTCATGAGCATGGCTTCCCATGGAGCTGTGCACAGCCCCATCTGCACCCTCACAAGCTATGGCACTGTGTTTAGCATCTAAACTCATCTCATTTGGGGGAACGCTGGTCTAGCAAATTAAGGAAGGAGTCTTTGCTGTATCTCTTTCCTGACACTTTATCTCCTGACTACAAGGAACCCATCCATGGCTGCCATGACACTGTGAGAACTGATAAATATCCACCCTCTTGTTCTAGTTCACCTGCTCACACCAACGACTCCCAGAAAGATAGGATTGTTGAGTAATTTTTATTGACCTGGAAAAGTCCAATTCTGGTTTCCTACGGCCACAGGAGAGGGGAACAGAGGCCTGGCTGACAGCTGCCCCTTTCTGACTGGCTTCCCGCTGACAGCACATTCGTTTGCTCTCTCCTTTCCTGTTTATCCATTTTCTTTATCTGAGCTTGCCTGTCCGTGTTGGGGATATTGTGTCCCCCATCGGTTGTTCATCAGAGAACTTGACTGCAGAGCCGCTGGCGGAAATTGAGTTTTTGAGATTCTGAGATAATGAACCCAGGAGACACGTCCACGTCACTCAGCACCCAGACAGAGTAAGACCAGGGGAAATGACCCATTCAGCCAACCTAATGCATCAGCTCCATCATGAACGCTCACTTTGGGATGTGCTGACCAGGATGGATTCTTTAGCGTTGGTTTTCTCTGAGCTGTGACGGGAAGGGTGGGTCGGACCTAGGGAGGTTGAAGGGACCAGGGGAAGGATTCCAGGANGCTGCGCTCGGCCCAGTCTCGGCCCACGACGTGGAACAGAACCTGCACGGTGGGCCGGCCCGGGTAGACGCGGTCCCGCAGGATGTGGGCCTTCAGCCTCCAGTTGACACCGAACTTACTGGTTGGGCCTAGAAAGTTTGACACCAACATCAAATCCAGAGGCACCACCTTCTCCACGGTGAAGGGCCCATAGCTGGCGTTTAACACCGGGGGCCGCTTGGCTTTGTAGGTGAAGAAGGACTGCACGCGCGACTGCAGGCTGGAGTTGTGCGTGACGTCCTGGCTGGTCTCCCTCAGGAAGAAGGCGGTCTCCGCCCTCAGGACGTGGAAGCTCGCCGGCAGATAGGGGGGCAGCGAGGAGAACCTCTGGATGGTGTCGGAGACCCCACGGCCCTCGATCACTACAGGGGGGCAGAGAAAGAAAAGACAACGACAAACATGAGATGATCGCTGGGCTCCGCAGAAGCCCCTGGGCCCAGGAGCAACTTAGACACGAGAGATAAACACGCGAAGTCCACTTGGCCAGAACTTGCACGTTCCTTCTGGAATCGGCCGGTCAGCGAGTCTATGTGCTCCACAAATTACACACGTGTCGCGGGTTAGGTTCGACCATATGCAACAGAGACTTGCTATGTTAAGGACGGGTGCACAGTGAGCATTCCACGTGGTTCCACCTAACAGAAAGCCGGCAAGTGACTGACAAGTGGAAGGCAAATATGTTTGCTAATACATTGCATGAGTTTCAAGCACATATTACGGTGCCGGGACGTGACTAGAAAAACAGACTACCGGAATCGAATAGTCCGTCAATAGAGTCACGTGCATCTGGAAATTCAGTCCGTGATAAGGGTGACACTGCATGTCATGGGGCAAAGGCGGACTTTTTATAAACGGTGGGACATCTGGCTAGACACTTGGGGGAAAAAAGACAGACTCAGGTCCATGCCTCACACCATACACAAGAGTACACTTTAAGTGGACCCAGGATCCAAATGGGAGGAAGTGAAATGTTTTCAGTACTAAAAGAAAAACATGGATGAATTCCTCTGTAACATGGGTGACGAAAAAAACTTTCTAATTAGGATGCAAAGTCCAAACACAGGTTTAAAAAAATGATACGTTTGCCAGCGTAAAAAAGAAATAAATAAAAACTTCTTTGCATCGGAAAAAGGAATTATAATCAAAGTCAAAAGAGGGAGACATTGCAAACTGCTCCCGTATGGCGCCAATGGGTTTCGTTTCGCCCACAGCCCTTTAAAAGATCCTTGTGAATGGGGACCGTTTTTAAACCCTGGGAAATAGCTGGCTTTCCAGGATCTCCTGAAACACGGAGGCGTTGGCAGTAGCTAAGTTTCATGCTCCCACGGCAACAACAGAAGATACCAGCAGCCCATATCACTCAATTAAGTTTGACCCCCCAGGCACACGTAAGTTTGAAAGCGCCCATGAGCATCTTCCAGGCAGGTAAGTCCAGGGACACTGGGGGCTGAGGTCAGCGCCAAGACAGAAAGGAGCCTCCCTGGCCCTCCTGCCTCCCTTGGTCATCGCAGACACCCGCAGCAGTACAGCCCGCAGGCTCCTTGCTGTCGGGAGGTCATCCTCTCTAAAGATCCCCGTGAGGTTATACTTCCATTGTTGGAGGTTCCCCGAAGGACTGGCTACCTCGAGGGCACAGGAGATATAAGTGCCCCAACCGTGAACATTGCAAAGCCCAAGAAAGCCCCATCGCTTGCCCTTGTCTTTCAAAACCAGCCCAGAAAACCCAAACAAGCCCCCATTCATAGATGGACAGACATGACGGCAGTTCCTCTCTCTCTGCCCGTCTTTCCAACCTTCCCTGCTGCAGGCACAGCCCATCCGGCGTAGGGGGCAGCCTCTTGCATCTCCCCTCTGGAAGTCCTAATCTTTCTCTGGGCAGGGACACTGGCTATCAGATCAAAGCCGCCTTTGGTGCTGCAGCCAAATGGACTCGGGTTATCAGGATGACTTTTCAAAGAAAGAGCCGTCTCCCCTGTTCTTCGCCCAGGCGCCCTGTTCTGAGGTCACCAATAACAGGGTACTTGGCCCCTCTCTGGGGATGTCTCAAGGCTTCCATTTTAACCCACTCACATCAGAGCCAGGGATAACACTCTCAAAAGGCCCTGCCAAGGCCCAGCATTCCAGGAAGGGTCTGGCTTTATGTCCTTAAAAAAAAAAAACCACCATTGACTATTTAAGCAGCTTGTAATGTTGTACACAAACCAATGGACTAGTTGCCACATTGGAGGCTTTTATTCTGATGTATTCATCCTTCTCCAAAAAAGCTCTTAAACCTTGAAGTGTAGAGGCTAGAGGCTCATTTGTTTGGAGTAGGGAGTGGGCCAAGGGCCCTCTGAAGGGATGGAGCAAAGATTGGGAGGCCCATCTCTGTAGGGGAACAGTCTAAAAGGGGAAGCATTTGTCAACTAGCTTTATTGTCCTTC